TCAGCGCGCAACCCGCATGACGGCGTGGGCACCCCCCGCTGGTCTACGACGACCCGATTCTCGAAGAGCATGACCCCAAGCACCTCGCGGCCGGCAATTTTGACTCGCGCTCGAGCTCTGTCTTTGTCAACTCGATCGCAGTCGTCGTCGGTGCTGCCATCGGCATTGGTCTGGGGCTCTTGCTAGCCAAGCTTGAGGTCGGCGACGACGTCCAGCAGTGGATCGCACTGCCCGGCAACCTCTTTGTGCGCGCGCTCCGGTGCCTCGTTGTGCCATTGGTCTTTTGCTCGATGACGGTCTCGATCGCCGAAGTCATCATGCTCAACCGGACGTCGGTGTTAACGCTTCGGACTGTCGTCGTCTTCTTCCTCACGTCGTCGCTCGCGGCCGTCCAAGGTATGGTCGTGGCACTGGCTTTCCGCGCTATGTACAGCCCACCGAGCTCGGTTGTTGTCGCCTCGAACGCATCGAGCAATGCCGCAATCATTGGGCTCAAGTGCGCCAACGGGCTCTTTTTGGGCGCAGCCGAGAACGGGTCGGTCGCATGCTTTGAGCCCAGGACTGCCGCCAGCGCCTTGTACCAGATCAACGACATCAACAACGTGCTCCATATCCAAGGCAAGTTCCAGCAACTTTCGCTCACCGACCAAGTGATCGCGATCATCAACTTGATGGTGTCGGACAACATCTTTAGCTCGCTCGCCAACGGGTCGCTCTTGAGCATCATCATGTTTGCACTTCCGCTCGGCGTCGCTGTCGCCAAGTCGCACATCGGCGACGCAGCTGGCAACCATTTGTTCAACCTCCTTCGGCAAAGTCGTAACGCACTCCTCTCGCTCATCAACGCTGTGCTCCGTGCGACACCGATCGCCGTCCTCTTCCTTGTAAGCTCGTCGATCGTGAGCTACCATTCCAACGCGTCGAGCTTTGTGGCCCAAGCCGGCTACCTCGCGCTTGCGTTTCTGAGTGGCGTCGCGTGCCACGCCCTGGTGACACTGCCGCTTCTTCTCTTTCTTTTTACGCGCATCAACCCGTACAACTACCTCCGGCAGCTCTTTCCGGCCTACGTCTTTGCGTTCGGGTGCTCGTCATCGATGGCGACGCTCCCCGTGGCCATGACGGTCATCCACCAGACGCGCCAAGTCTCACCGGGCTTTGGCCAATTGATCATGTGCCTTGGCACGCCCGTCAACACGAACGCCGCGGGCTTGTACTACCCGCTCATGACCATGTTTCTTGCGATTGCGTCGGGCAACTCGCTTGGAACGCCGCAGCTTGTTGTGCTCTTCCTCGTGTCGCTGCTGGGCTCCATGGGGACAGCACCCGTGCCCAACGCCGGCCTTGTCATGCTTATGACGGTGTGGAAGACGGTGCTGCCGAACGAGGCGCTGCCGCATGCGTTCGTGTACATTGTGGCCATCGACTTTCTCTTTGATCGGATTTGCACCATGACCAACATCAACGGCAACATGGTTGCCACCCGGATCCTCGCGGCCCAGTTCGACGACGGCCGTGGCTCGACCGAAGATGCCGACGCCGCGCCCCATGTGATCCAGGTCGGAGGCTAGTCGTGCTCAATTGCGTGGACGGAATGCAACGTCTACTTGTCGTGCAAGTCGTATTTGATGGTGTGCAGCGTGTAGAGATAAAGCAAAATCGACTTTTAGTGTTTTTTTTTACATCGAAGTGGATGGGGGTAGAGCTCACGACGCAACGATAGCGCACGGAAAGGGACGACTTGGCACATTATTCTGTGCATGAATCAGGCATGGCGTAAACGCACGTGCCCATCTCATCGAATGGTTCTCGCACGTCTACACCTTGCATGGCACGCCTCGCTCAGCTCCGCTCGTGTCTCATCGTCTTCCGCTCACATCTTCCTGCGTCACGAAAGCTTAAGTGGCTCGCGAAAGATCACGACTCGCATATTGAGACGCTCGTCGCTCAAGGCTACACGCACGTAGACAGCTTCCAAGCCCTTGGACACACGGTCGCCGACCTCGAAGAACAACTACCAGGACTTTTCCAGAGCTGCAGCCACGCTAATCCAAGTCGGTGCAGACGCGCTCGAATCTGCAACCCGCCGTTGGATCCGGCTGCTCGCGACCGCTCTCGTTCGATGCTACCCGCTCATCTCGCCTGTCGATCATGCCATGCTTGGCAACCGAGGGCGCGGTCGACGTTGCGTCTTTCTGCTCGTGGTGGATCGGCGAAGACATGTTTGACGCGATCGACCAGCACCTGCATGCGGCCACAAATGGTGCGATCGACGTCGTCTTCCGCGAGCCGGCGCTCGTGCAGTTCAAGCTCCACACGACGCTCTCGGTCAGCGTCGTCGAGGCGGCCAAGCAAACGTTTTACATCAAGAGTATTCGGTTTCGCAAACTTCGCTCGAAGGCATCTTCAATGTGTTTGTGTTCGCGTCCAAGCAAGAACGACACGAAGAGCCGTCGTTGACACGTGGGTGCTGTGGCTGTTTGAAGGGGGCGCCGTCGACAAGAAACAACCAGTACCGCGCACTGTCGAGCCCTTAAGTAATGTAGTGTTATCTTTTTGCCAAGTTCGTGTCGTCGCCGTGTCGTTTGTATATACACTTTTAAGCTCCTTTGACTCAGTTGGTACCAGGTAAATCAATCTACTAACAGCTGTAAGTTAGTATCTATCTATCCATCTGTCCATATATCCATTGATCAAACTGTCCAACGTCGTGGTTGGTACGTGTGCATGCAGGATATGCAGGATACATGTCGTAGGCAAGAAAAAGTATGACATGAATTAGTTACCGTTATGATAAGACGACGCGACAAGCAAGACGAGTAGAAGGTGACCACCAAGTTAGACGCCTGGGACTGGCGTCCGGGCGTCTTCGCTCGTCTCGTCCGACCACGCCGCGACCGGGTCGTCGTAGCGTTGGGCCAAGATCCGCGTGACAAACATGTTCCCGTGCACGTTAGTCACGGTCGAGAGCCGATCAAAAACAAAGTCGCAGGCTACAATGTACACGAACGACAATGGCAGCGGCGTCGTCGGTAGCACCGTCTTCCAGACCGTCATGAGCATCACGATCGCTGCATTGGGCACCGGTGCCGTGCCCATCGAGCCAATCAGCGAGACGAAAAAGAGCACGACAAGCTGCGGCGTACCGATCTTATCGTTGGCGCCCGACATGCCCGCGAGGAAGATCATCATGAGCGGATAGTACACGCCCGCAGCGTTCATGTGGACCGGTGTCCCAAGAAACATGACGAGCTGTGCCATCGAGCGCGAGACTTGGCGAGTCTGGTGCACGACGGCCACGGCCACGGGCAGGGTTGCCATCGACGACGAGCAGCCAAACGCATACATGTAGGCGGGCACGAGCTGCTTCATGTAATTGTACGGGTTGGCGCGCGTAAAGAGGAAGAACAAGAACGGCATCAGCAGCAGCGTGTGACTCACGACGCCAGTGACGAACGCCAAAATCAAAAACCCGGCCTGCGAGACGATTGTCGACCCGGACGTGTTGTAGGTGGAGATGGCACCGGCGATCAAAGAAACGACGGCAAAGGGCGTCGTTCGGAGCACGGCGCTGATCATGAGCGAGAGTGCCTGTCGCATTTGACGTAAAGTGTTGAGGAGCACGTTGGTTTCCATCTCACCGGCGTGCGACCACGCAATTGCAACGCCAAGGGGCAGCGCAAACATGATGATGCTGAGGAGCGAGCCGTCGGCAAGCGCCTCGAAAATGTTGG